CCCCACCACCACCACCACCACCACCACCACCCTGCGTGTGACAAGTAGAAGGAAAAGAAGTGGTGGCCATCTGTATTCATTCTGACAACCCCTTTTTTTCCTGCTTTTATTCTAAACAATCAAGTGATCTAAGAGTAAACAAACAACATTTCTTCCTTATAAAAAAGGATATATATTGTTCAGGAAACAGAGAACAGGCGTGAAGTGTTCTTGGATTGATTATAGGGAAAATCAGTTTAGAAACAACAACAGACAGCACAAATGTTTGTATAAAAAAAAAAGCATTATTGTTATTACCATTAAAAGGCTGCTGCATGCATTCCCATCAGCAGTGGAGGTTTGCACAGCGGAGCACAGTGCAGCTGTGTTTTTAACCACCCTGCTATTACTGCAAACCAACACATACACCGTAATATAAGGGATATAAGCCCGATCATGCTGCTCCTCTTTGCAGAAGCATCCTGCTGATTAYTCAACAACTTAATGTTTGCAATCAAGTTTTCAATTCATCTTCCAAACCTTTACTTCACTAACTAAAATAAAAAAAACAACCTGTTATGGTTTGTGATGCACTACTAAAAAGTTTAGTTTATTATTGATTTGTCACTGCCTTGTCTGTACATCAAGCTATTCCTCGTTTTTTTTCTTTCTGCTGCTTATTTTTTCACTACATTACAGAGTGAAGAAAGTTCTGCTGGTTTTATTTTTCATTAGACAAAATTTTATAAGATGATGTTAATTCAATGATTACTTCCTAATAATAKCTTTAAATTCACCCAGTATTCCATGACATACAGTATATTTTGGTAACCAATAGGCGCGCACACACACACACACACACACACACACACACACACACACACACACACACACACACACACACACGCACACACAGTCAAAATTAGTATCTGTACCCATGGGAACCATATGGGGACCAAAGCCTAGTCCATGTGGCTGTGTTTTTCTGATAAATGGTCCCCATTATGTAGCAAAAACGTGTCCACACAAACACACATACACACWCACACACACACACGTTTGTTCTTGTATCCTCATGGGGACTTTGCATTGACTTCCATTAGTTCACCAATGCAGGTTATATTAAAAAAAATAAGCATTTACTCGTAAAATAAATTTTGAACAAAACAAAATATCTAATGAAAACAAATTAAAAGAAGAATTCAGCTTTTCACGCAAAAAAACAATGTGCTCCTCAGTGTGTCTGTCTGTTCTACCCTGACTCGGTGGAAAGGAAAGTCAGGGGCAACTTTGCTGAAAACTTCTCTACATTCATTATGCATCTAGACCGACTATCATATTCAAAACAAGTTGTTTTATTCATCGTCAGACAAGGTGAGGAATCAAAAATGATGTGGGAGGGAGTGAAGAAAGCCACACCAGAGTGAAGAATGGGAAACAGTGTGACTCCATTTAGTATCTAATCCCAACATCTGCACGTGTGCTGACCTGCTGTTGCAGCGTCACATGGACACACATAACAGTTTACATCACAATTTAGGATCCATCTCAGTGATCGCTTTGTTATTGTGAGTGTCATGTGGTCAGATAAAAAGCATTTAAATGTAACTTAATTCCTGCAAACCGTATCCACAGATAACATTAATCAGACAGCAGCAGATGGGTCCTCCAGACTGAATGGAAGTTTGATCATTTGGGTGCTCAGGCAAATGAACAGTGGAAATTGTATGACCATTCGCTGAAACAAGACAATATCTGGACTTATTAATGAAAGATTAAACACATCCCTAATGTTAGCCAAATTRATTTTTAACTAGCGAAACTTAAAAATTGAGCATTTCAGCTGGCGTTCCCTTTCTCACTCAAAATTGGATTTGATGAGCAGATATTTATGTGCATARTAACGATGCAGATGAGTTCATTTGGAGCACTGCGGGCTGAGGAGTCAGAGAGGGCTGAAGCGTGTCTGAACAGAGATGAACTGCTCCTTCTTTAAGGTCTGTTTCAGGATTCCTTGTAATAAGCACACACTTTGACAGCCATTTATCAGAACACCACGGCGAACTTAATTACTTTGTGATTGATCACTCATTTCCATTCTGCAGCCATCGTGGAGCAAAATAAACCCAAGGCTGGCTATCAGATCCCCACTCGTAGATGGTATTTGCTTCATCTGAGACACGTTTGATATCCAGCTCACTGGTCAGTCCGTGGGAAAAAGGTTGGCGCCAGAGTGGTATTGTGATAAATTACACACAGATAAGTTCTTACAGAACACCCCCCCCCCACCCCCACCTTGAGCACCACTTTTCATGACGAGCAGCAAACCTCATAAATCAGCAGCTGAACCTCCACATCCGGCGGCTCTTTTTTAGCCAACGCGACCTGCTCCATGCACTTTCTGCAAGTCTCAGTATTCCAGAGTAGCATGAAGAAAAGATGGATGTTTGACTGCATAGACAAAAAGGGAGAAGGAGTTGCTTTAAAGTTGTCCATCTAGTCTGTTTTTAAGTCATTCTTTACCTTTTACACATTTTAGAAACACAACGGTGCAACGTAAAAGATCGAGAAAAGATGTGTTGCATTTTTGCAACGTTGAGGCAATAGTCCAACTTCCCTTAGCACTTCATGACATTTTTCCTTTAGTTTCATAAATCAACCCCCCCAGAACTGCCATGTTGAAGAAAAGCAATAWGGTTTTAGAAGAAAACTGGGGTGGCGGGGAAAAAAAAGATGATTCTGCAGAGAAAGTGTTGAGGATTTTCCTGTTGACAGTTGTAATAAGTGTTTGGGGGTGGTCAGCTTGCGCAGTTCATGCTTACAGGTGCAGGGGGTAAACATTTGATAAGTGGCCATGCTGTGGGTGGTGAACTTGAAAAATGTCAGGCTTTTAGTTCGGGTCCACTGAGCCCTGTGCATGACCAACGCTCACATTAATCATTGCACTGCAGGGGTTGAGCCTGCCTTTAGCCAGATAGTTAGCGTGTAATGGTGAAYCAGACTCACAGAAGTGCTTCCTGCAACCTAAAAGCATCACTTCTGGTCTAATTCAGTTTACATAAACAAACATTCTGATGATTTTTGGGACAGTGGTGTTAATTAAAATAAAGGGACAAACGACTAAACTCTACCTCTTTATGAGCGGCTTAACCTGCCAAATGTCAGATTATGACTTTTGCAACTCCCTGCACAACTGTGAATCTAATTCAAAATGCTTTGTAAAGTGGCTACAGGTAGTTAGACTAATGGCAGGCATTAGTCTTCATAAAGGTTGTGTTTGTGTGCCTCTTTTCCCTTATCAAGGTGTGAAAAACTGTTATAAAATCAGTTTCAAGCAGAGTGGATAATAAATAAAAAGGTTGTAGAGTCGCATGGAATGAACAGTTGGCAATGTTGTTTTCACCATGACCTGAACTCTGTTTTAGTGAACCAAAGAACTGTTTGCAAATTCACTTTAATTTAGAATAACATGCTCACCTTTTTAAAAACTTCTTCTGTCGGCCGCTAGTTTGACAATACTGCAGTATTTCTTGAGACAGCCGACACTTGACACAAGTTTGTTGACAGAGAACCAAAAAGCAGAGTTGAGAGGCAGCAGGGAGGAAGACATAACAAATCAAATAAAGCTAAGATTTGAAAAGTAGAGATTATAGTAAAACAAGCATAAATCCCAAAAGAAGCCACAGGAACAAATGCAACCAGAAGCATAACTGACCTGATAATTAACAGAAACAAACTCAGGTGTGCATGGCAGGAAACCAAACCAATTAAACCAGTTCTGCAAAGGAGATGCTGAAGCAAAAATAAAAAAATAAAAATAAAATACGAGTGGTTGATATTTAGAGTTTTAGTTGTAAAGTTTTTGATCATGTTCAATAAAATCATCATCTCTGACTCGTTGGTATTTGCCTTTTCATTTACCAAGAACAAAAAAAAAAACTTTTATATCTTATTTTGACCTTTTAAATGAAACTGAGAGGAAACGAGTCTGGATTTTTCTGATTAAAAAAAGTCTCCCAGTTATTTCTTCTCATTTAAGCCCCCAGAATTTTCTATTTGACCTTTTAGTTGTCAACTGAATTTTATACAGAATTCAAGTGAAATTCAAAAATGTTGCATACCTTCAGTGGTTTTAGTACTTTGCATTTCATGTTTCAGTTCAGAACCCTTTTATTTAGCTTTAACTCTGCAAATGTCACATTAGAGGGGTTAGTTTTAAACAACCATAAAGGTTCTCATATTGCCTAGTTTCACAGCAAACAAAGACAAAAATCAGTTGTGGTTCAACAGAATGGTCTATTGATTCATATTAATCATGTATTTATGGCTCAATGTATCTAGAAGTTCAGCCTGGGACTTTCCATTAGATATCCACTCAGATATGATCAGTCGCATCCAATTTGACTGCCCCCAGTAAAAGTGATCTAATTGATGTTCTTCTGCATGACTGTTAAAATGCTATATGGGCCATCTGATCATGACAGTTTATGATTCAATTTGCATATATTTTAATATTTGGCATAAAAGTTGAAAAAAAAAGTGCCTGTCAAGTTTCTTTGGCACTGTACATTAACAAACCTTGTTCTATTTCTCTTTAAAACCGATAGTCACTATTATCACTTACTAAAAGACTTGGGAATAACCGCTTTTTGGTGCAAAATTTTCTAGAGTTATTCAAGTGCAGATTCGGCCAGTTTAAGATTGCGTGTCCTTTTTTTAAAGTTTTAAACATTAAACTTCCAACTTAAAGATCCACAGTTGAGAGCTAGCTAAAAGCCTGCATAATAGCTATTGAAAGTTTTTTGAATCACCCGAGTAGGTGGTGACGAAGCATGTGGCAAAAGCCTCCCAACATGAAAGCACATTTCCTTCTACAAAAGTTCTGCCATTCAACAGGATTTAAAGTAGAGTGATGAGGACATCAAGTTTAGCAAATAGGTCTGAGGTTTGCTAGCCTTTTAAAAAAAAAAAAAAGTGGTGGAAATACTTAGGTTTGACTGTTTGCATGAACCACTTCAGACCATGGTTTAGAACTTGAAAAATGAACCCAGTTTTGCCTTAAGGCTGAAGAATCCAAATCTTACATGATTTTAGCAGAGGAATAGATTGCAGACATGCACATGTAAAAGGCTTAGTAGTGAGGGAAAAAAAATAAAAACCCTCATTTCAGCGTCTTGAATTCCTGCTACAAGTGTCAAAGGTAGAAGTAGAAATTTAAATAAGGCAATGACCTTAGGTTAATTTGTTCATTTGTCTTTACAGACTAGTTTTTTTCTCAAGCATTAAGACCAACGTTTACTGTACTAAACAGTTTTGGCCTCGAGGATAACTTTAGTATTTAGCATGCGTTTACATAGTACATTGTGCACAAAGAAATCAAAAATCAGTCAAACTGTTAAAAATGTTACAACTTTAATTTAAAATTCATTTTACATAGTTATAAACAGAGCTTTAAAATTTCAACTCATTAAGACACAATAACCCTCCCCCCTGATCCCCTTCAGCATTTCCACAGTCCATAAATAAGCCTAGAGGACAAAAGACTGAGAACCTGGTGTCCCATTGGTGCACAGCACTACTTGTGTATTTTAGTGGGCACAGTTCCCCTCCAGGATCAGTAAGGGGCAGGGGGTAGATTAAACTTGTTTACAAAGAACATTTTAAGACCAGCTTCACTTCTCCACACTACCAGTGCCAACAGCTTGGACTGGTTTATAAGDGGGGGGGGGGGGGTGGATCAGCAATGGAGGGAAACAAAAATTAAAGCCACAGGGAGCAACAGAATTAAGGTGTTTAGTCCTACAGTGCAGCTGCCACAGGTTATACAGGGGGTGGAGAGAGGGGTGCTGGCAGTTGTTGGGGTGATGGAGGTAGGAGCCATGACACTGGGAAGAGCAACCAATGTGCCATTGACAGTTGGGGAGGTGGCATTGAAGACGACAGGTTGCTTCGTACTATTGGCAGCTGAGGTAGCATTGGAAACTGCATTCAAGTTGGTGCCATTCACAGCTGATGGGGTGGTGCTGTTGGCAGCTGAAGGAAAGGTGGCATTGGAAATTGGACCCAACTCTGTGCCATTGGCTGATGGGGTGGTGCTGTTGGCAGCTGAAGGAGAGGTGGCATTGGAAACTGGACCCAACTCTGTGCCATTGGCTGATGGGGTGGTGCTGTTGGCAGCTGAAGGAGGGGTGGTGCTGCTGGCAGCTGAAGGAGGGGTGGCATTGGAAACTGGACCCAACTCTGTGCCATTGACTGATGGGGCGGTGCTGTTGGCAGAGGATGGCTCAGTGTTATTGGAAACTGAATGTCGCTGCATGCGGTTGACAGCTCTTKGAGAGGTGATGGTGGAAACTGTGCTCAAATGTGTGCCATTAACAGATTTAGGTGACGTAGAGTTGAAAATGGTGCTCAACCCAGTGCCATTAAAAGCTGCTGGTGAAGTGGCATTGGAAACTTGTTGCTCCATGCTGTTACCAGCAGTTGGGGAGGTGATGTTGGAAACAGAGTGTGTGCCACTGGCAGTTTTTGGTGAGGTGGAGTTGGAGACTTCTTGCGGTTTCAGGTCATTGCCAGGTGTTAGAAAGGTGGTGTTGGAACCGGCACCCAAAGCTGCACCAACAACAGCTGGTGAGGTGGAGTTGGAAACTGCATCCAGCTCGCTGCCCTTTTCAGAAATTGGGGATGTGGCACTCAACTCCKTGTCATTCACAGTTGTGGATGCTGTAAAGTTTTGTGCCCAAACCTACAACAAACAAAGTTCTTATTTAAAAGTTTGCCACAGAAAACTAAAACATCAATGAGTAATATTGTGACACAAGTTGGGCAAGACCAAACCTACAAGTCTGAAGCAGCACATAGTTTAAGTTATGCAAAATGCTTAGGTTATTTGATACAAAATCTTAAAAAAAAAGTTTACATTAACTGTTAACATGAGTTAAGGCAACTTTGAAGTCACAAGATATACTGTTATCCAATATTTGTGTTAATCTAGAAAGACAAAAAAAATACAAACCTGTGGCAAGAAGCAGAGAACCAGCATGACAACAATGCACAACTTGTTCATCTTGGTGCTAAAAGCTGTGAGGAGTCCTCCTCTAGGTTCTTACTGCTGATCCTGAGTTGAATGACTGCAGAGTTTCTGTCAAGGTTTTTATATCCCCACCTCCCGTAATCAACCAATAGATCACACCTGTAAAGGACGTGCTGCATTCAGGTGCACGTGTTGAACTCTGTCTCAGGCAGTTCCTTTGAATTCCTCATTTGCTAACATSCAGAGCCAATAAAATAATCTTAAATTGCTTTTGGTTTACTTTGAACTARTAGCAATGACACTATTTAAATTTAGACCAGTGGGCAAAAAGAGAGGATGAGAGGCTTCTGGTCAAATAGTCAAAAGCTGCTGATGTTATTTCCTGACTTGTTTGACATTGTCATGAAATTCAGAGAAATAGGAGAGTGATGCAACAACACCACATTTACTGGAATTTCATTTTATTAAGCTCACAACAAATTATATATACAAACTAAATATATATAAATCTCAAATTCAAAACATTTAGGTCAAACTGATGCTGAATCTGCARCTCTAGAACCACAGTTGCTAATTAAATATTCAACAAAATCTTTGAGGAGTTCAACTAATCCATTCTCATCCCATCAAATGCAACAGACTAATGCTATGCCTAATATCAGTAATATAAAGACATTAAAGAAATTATATATTTACCATCAAACCTAATCTTTTTATTTGCACTGCATACTTTGTATTCAACAAAGATTGGGAGAATTATCACCATGACAGCTGGTATTTTTTTAAAGTAGAGATAAAGCCCAAAAATGTTTTTTCACAGGCAGCTCACACAAACCAACCTGACCTCACTTTTTTATTTACAAGTTCCAGTCATTATGTATGAGTTTTGAAAAATGAGGCTGCAAATTATTATGAGATGAAAATTCTTTTTCTTTTACAAAAACACGATCCAATTTTTTWAAGTTAATAAATGACGAAAGGAAACTGTTTTCCTTTGCGTTTTTTACACTTTGTTGAGAATTTTGTTAAGCAAAAATAGATCTATTTTATCCAGACTTCCTGAAAACTGATTGGAAGATTCAATTTAGTTGCACAAGTGAAGTTTCTGCAGGAGGACAATCTAACAAAACCATCAGCATTATTTATTTATTTATTTATTGGTTTGATACCATTTTAAGCATCTTAACAAAACAGTTAAAAACACAGTTTTAATTATCGTCATTGCAAATGTTCCAAATAGACTGAAAATGGTACGCTTTGAGTTCTCATTATTTCAGCTTCATTCATTTTTTTATTTAACACAAACCATCTCTTCTTTCTTAAAGCTGAGAGCTTAAAGCTGTAATATGTTTYCGTTTGCTTCATCACTTCCTATCGTCACTGTTGGCTGAGCACATCGCAATGAATTCACCGCCTCGATTTGTTCTCTGACGTGGCGGGTTTATCAAAAACGCTTAAAATTGGACAAACTGACCACCTCCGAAGAAATCCGTCTTATCCTGAAAACGAATTTCCACGATCACGAGCCTCAAAAGTGATGAAAAACATGGACGTTTTAATGGGAAGCAGCTCAGGCACAAGGAGGCTCTTGAAAAGTGAACACACACAGACACACACACACGCATAAACACACACATAATACCCCGAGTCCTTATCATCAGGCATGGGATTAGATCTGTATGGTTTAATATGCTTAAAGCTTCCAAAAGCGGCTTCCTCCATGTCGAGGTTTATCCCTCCATCTATAAAAACACATTTCTCAAAGGGCTGCGAGCTTCTGCTATATTCTTATATCAAGGAGCACAGTCCTGCCTTTGTGCACTGGAATGTGTTTAGCTCCGGGATCATTCATCACCCATCTGGAAAACGGGGAATTACTGATCACGCCTGAAGCTCACCTGAAATCCTCCAGACTAGCAGAGGACAAGTGTTTGGCTCAGTCACTCCTATCCTGCATTAAAACATGCAGGAAATATAAAAGAACCTACTTGTATGTTCTTGTGATTCAATAAATGAAAAGTAGATATGTTCCGTGCATCAGTCATGCCAATCTCCAGCAGGCTTCGGAACCACGAGGGCTCGTTTATTTGCAGCTATGGATTGGAGAGCTAGGTGAGGTTGTCAGTGTCGGAGTGCTCCTCAATTAGTTCATCATCGACCCGCTGGGGCCTAATGGGCCATTTGCGATCAACCTCAGCCTCAGATCTGATGAATTCCTTCTCTGAAACCAGTCAGCAGCTTGATGGGGAGCACCAATTCAATCCCCCCTTCACGGATTTAGCTTCTCAGGAAAAGGATGGGAGAGGAGTGGGTGCTGTTTGAGGCTGAGGGGTGATTTTTCACCCGCCTCCTGTCAATACCTGCCAGCAGCTTGCTGCAGGACATCAACCCTCGAGATGATACACCGATGATAGGTTAAGAGCAGGCGCAGCATGCTTACTCTATGGCATAACGACAAGGTGGGGGTTAGAGGTGAATTAATAGCGGATGAACCGGTGGGCAGGTCACTGCACAGGATGGATACAGTGAGAAGTAGGTGAGTACACAGCTAAATATGCACATTAATAATCCTCGTGTGGATGACTCAAGATGGAAAAGAAAGAAAATCTCTCATTTGGGTTGCATCTGGGGGGAACAGGCGTTAAAAAAATAGATTGAAACACTGCTACTGAACTGCGCACAGTCTTGTTTTTGGCACAATCATCAGTTTATTTCCAGCCCTTCCTTCTTATTTTCATCTTACGGTCTCATGCTCACCCACATATCCCGGGAACAGACGTGTACGTGCYGCACGCTGTGCCTCCAATGGAATATAAATTACAGCATTTGTTTCATACCTCATGGTTTTGATTACTCTCTCCTCCTAAAAAAAACAACTGCAGAGAGTTATGCACTGTAGTGTGCGTATTCCAAATATGGCATCAACTTCGCTGCATGTAGAGGAACATACAGGCAGGGTGGGATGTACACCATGTGCTGACCAACCAGAGCTGGTGGAGAAGAAATTGCACTCATCTCAGCATCTTGTTTTCTTTAAATTGCTACAAGTAAAAGCAGATGCGACCTCGTTTTCGACTGGCCGTGTCTCCAAATGTTTTTGTTTCCTTTAGGTTTACTTATCATCATTTTGGCTCCTACAGCCATCACCTCCTCTCTGGATCTTTCTTTCCTCTGAGCGTGTTCCTGACCTGTTTTGTAGAGAAAGAGTTTGGCAAACAGTTCAGCTTGCTGCATAAATGAGCTGTGCTCAAATGAGCAAYGTCCTCAGTACTTTGTCCTTCATGTACTCTGGAAATCTGATGAAGCACTTACCAAAGAGACATGTAGTCCCTGATAGACTGAAAAATATAAAAACACATCATTGAATTTGCATTATTTTTGCATTCTGCTCATAAATTATCTCTAGCGTATCGTAGTTTATTCACAGTTTCACTATAAAAYTTTAACAAATGGTTACAGAACAAGCAAAAGGCCTTGAAATTTGTTTGGAAATAAACAACTGCTTCAGATGCTGAAAGGTTAATTTAGGAYATCCAAACAAATATTCTGACAGGGAAAACCTTTGTCTCAGTTTTATTCAAAGCTGGCCCATTTAGTGACATTTTGCAGCACATTTGGCAGCAGTGAAACTATGAATTAATGAAAATTCATCCCAAATTTTTCACTGTTAACAAAAGCAGTAAATTAAGGATTGYTTCCTTTGAAATAATAAAACCATCTGGTGAAGATAGACGATGACTATTTAATTTTTTAATGTTTTTATTTTGTTTTGTCCATATTTTGTATGAGGAATTTAGAGCAAATAATTATCCGTGTTTATGGTTTCTGTGTTCATTCCTTTAACGTTTACTTTTGGCCTTTGAGTTTCATTCCCAGAATAATTCTCAGTTAGGGGAACAGTTGCCTCTCAGCATCTTTCAGGGTAGAGTTTACACGTTCCCTCCGTGMATGTGTGGGTTTTCTCCAAGAACTCCAATTTCCTCCTAAAGACCAAAAGCATGAGTGGTAGGCTAACTGGTAACTCTAAATTGTCCTTAGGAATGAGTGAGAGTGAAAAGTTGTTTGTCTCTGTGGCCCTGTGATRGACTTGCAACATGTCCAGTGTCCCCCTCTTAGTGACCCCTTTGACCCTAAAAGTTAGAAGCAGGTTGAGATAATGGATGGACTTCTCATTAAGATCATGACCACATTGTTCTTCTGTTTCATGCTTCATTTTTTCTGGTCAYGTAATGAGACCTGATGTTTCACTGTTAAATTTTCAGGCTTCAAGAAGTATTTTTAAAAAAAGTATTTTCTTTAAGCAGAACAAGTGATTATCACACAAAATACTAATAACACAACTTCGTATACAGAAACAAAAACTGTCACAAAAACACAGAAAAAAACAACATTATAACTAAATTTTATGAAAAACTGGCTTTATWGTTAACAACTGAACAATCCACACAAAACAGGTTTACTTGTTTACAACTTTTAGTCAATGTTTGAAGCTTCTCTGATTAACAAAATGATTAAGAATAAAAAGTGTGTATTATGGCAGATATTAAAACAACTGATGCAAAAATGCACAAATATTTTATCAGGTGAGATCAGACACAAACAAAATCCCAGATGTTTGATACACCTGCTAGATTTGAAAGAAGTGTAGAAAAACGAAATAAAGCTCAAAGAATAATTTCATTTAAAAATTGTTGACATTGTTTTTTTTTTGTTTGTTTTGTTTTTTTGTTGTTGTTGTTTTTTTGGTTTTTTGAAAGAAAACCAAATTTATATCATGCAGTTTTATTTGGATATCTTAAACAAACACCTCTACTTTCCTAAAGAGAACTTTTCCTTCAACCTTTCTTTTTCTATTTTTGTCCTCCTCTGTGGTGACTTAGGAATGTGTTTACCTTCTGCCTGAACATGTAAAAAAAAGTACAGAAACATGCATAAATATTTCTCCAACACTCCAAGTAATATTTCTTTTTTCTATTTTTTCCTTGCTGGTGCTATGTAGTCCTGTTCTGTTCAATAAATTATATCTGGTAATAAATATAAAATGAAAATAATGTGAATATTGAGAGTGAAACAAGTCAGGAGGACCGAGGCGTAAAAAAGTC